GATTTTGAAAAGTTTGTTAAAATGTATTTCACCAAGGTGTTTAGATGGATGTAACCTCCACTGCAGCAATACAACTCCCAGTGCAAAAACCTATGGTTTGAGCTGAAATGATAATACTGTGTCCCTGCAATGTTTCCTAATGAATGAGCATAGGTGTGCATGCTCATGTAAAGCAGGTTACAAAGGGAGTGTTGGTTTAGTGGGCCCTTCAGTCACTGGCTCAGACTGGGGCCATGGCTGTCTCAGTGGGTTTATTCCTCTGCTGCTGAACAAACACACAAAGCTCTCTGATTGGTCGGGAGGACTGTCCAATCAGGGGGCTGCAGACCCGCTCCGTACTACTGCTGCTGGCTCGGCCTCAACGCGCTCATTCATTGGCTCCGCGGCTCGACTATTCTATATGAATCAGCGCGCCAATTATGCATTTCTCCCCATGTTTCCTCTGTCGGGCTTTGTCATGAGCCATAAAGATGTAACGAAACACGAGCCAGGGGCCGATCCGCGGCACTTTTTAAAATAACTGTTCTCAACTTTTCAGCAAGTTTAGGCCTTGTTTACATGTATGGGCCACTCATATAAATAAGTTAAACGAAAAGAGAATAAAAGAGAGCGTTTAAAACCCGCTTTGAGTGCACTTCCTACTAACTTTTAATCGTCTTATAATTTCTTTCAAGTTTCGACTCCCGAAAAGTTTCTTAATAACTTTTCCATTTGTGGTTAGATGCATGTATTCTTTCTGTATGGACCAATATAAGGCATTCATGAAACCTAAGCGCTTTCCGTTGGCCTTGTAAGACTCATACAATTTTTTATAACCCTGTTTATTTGGCTTTAATGATTTTCACTGCATATGAAATAACGAAACGCACACGCAGGAACCAGGTCTACATGTGCTCTCTCTGCTGGGTAGCGCCTTATAGCTAGATGGTAGATTTGTGGACTGAACGTATAGAGGCAGCAGTCATGTGAGCGCTCTCATGACTTTGTCGGTGAACTGATGCATGGCTGCAGCCTGTCTCTGTGTGTGTGTGTGGCTGCTGGCTCTGCAGGAGGAGTAGTGAATGTATCGCTGAGGAATGTACAGAAAGTCTCCCCGCCCCCAAGCGCAGGACTCCTCGCTATGGACGAATTCCATAGGGGGCAAACTGACATAAAGTTTTAGACTAGACTGCATCCTATATGTGGGAAGATTGCTGCGGCTAATGTCAGTGTAGGAAAAGAACTGACAAAATCGATCTGTTTAAACATAGTCTGGGATATTTCTAGAGAGGGAGAGGGAGAGAGAGGAGAGGGGAGGCAGATTGTTTAAGTAAAACGCAGCTTATAGCCCAACTTTGAGCTACTGGCCTCACTCCAAGATCTAGATAGTCTACGTCGCCAAGCGCAAGGCTCTTTCACAAACCCCTTTAGGCTACACAAGGGATTCTGTTTTCCGGTGAGATGGCTTTATTTTTTTATGTATTGTTGGGCGATTCAAATATGTAACAATGTTTTCTTTCCACTTGAGATGTTACCATTAAATCCACTGACTGACCGTTTCGGACAGAGTCAGGGAACACTGTGGTGAACGCCATGTTGAGGAGAATCTAGAGCCTTGCAGTAACATGAACTGATGGGAACAATGTCCCTTTCTGCGTTAATACAAGTCTTTTCTGGGGCGGGGGGTCCAGACATTTGTTTTATATTCACCTCATGAGGTTACATGTAGGCTGCAAAACAACAACAAAATTTGAATGTGTTTTCTTCTCAGCTTCTCCTGTGGGATGACACCCTTCATCTCATTAGAAAATGGCGGTTTGTGCCCCCTCATAACACATGCCAATGAACATTCCTGTAAATAAGGAGTTAATGCTAACTGGTATAATATTGAAACGGAAATATATATTTAATATACTGTCTTTGTTGCTTTTAAAAAGAATAATAGCAGTAAATGAACTGTAGTTTTCCTTTTCCTTCTCTTTGGGCTAAACTTTTTTCCTCTCAAACAAAAGTCAAATCCTGGAAATTAGTGTGAAAAAGTTAACTCAGTCTAGGTCAACAGTCACAGAAACGATTATTTTAAAGGGGAGATATTTTTGAGGAAATAATTGGTGTCTTGTTATTATTAATAACAACTCTTAAAAAAGCTAATAATAGCAGTCAAAGCTGCCGTCATCCTGTAGTTTTGTTTCACAAGTGGCAACAGCTCTCCCTGTATTTTTAATGAAATGTTTGTTTAATTGCAAGTAATTTGATTAAAATTTGTACACACTGCATTGTGTAAATTCTTATTTCTTTTTATTTCTCATTATTTGAACAGAAAAATATACACTTTTGTAATAAAAATCTGTTGATTTTTGCATTTCTTGTGATCTTTAGATAACTTCATTATTATTGTGCATTTGATCAGATTAACACCACATGTTCATGCAGCACAAACGTCTGATGAAAGTGGGTGTTTTCACAGCACAGGCACATGAATATTTTCAAACTTTGTCATACATTGAAGCTCTACTGTATGGCCATGCTTTTAGCATGTAGTTTTGGCTCTCTTATAGGAATACTTCCCTTCTGGCTACTGTTGTTTACTGGTTTCAGCACCTTGATTGATTAGTTACACTGTCATTTGTGTTAAGAAAATCTCTCTTGAAGCAATTCAAAAGCAATCCCTTTCTTCAAGCTCTTGTTTTCTAAAAGAGGAGAAACACATGATTTTATTGTGCTTCAAGTTTTCACACTTGTAATTTTACATTAGATTAGGTTTACTGCAAAATCTGGAATATACTACATAGTGTATTTCTCTCATGTGGAAATGTTTCAGCAAATTATTGTTTAAAATATAGCTGTTATTTACTGTAGCCTATTTATCAACTTGATGATTCTGGTAATTAATTTCAGTAAAGAAGTACATATTATTTGATGTGGATTTAACATAATTTTTGAACCAGAGGCTTTTTAAAATGTTATGGTAGAGTAAATTAACTTTTTCCGCTGTTTGTACATTGTCACTTGTATTAAAATCTTCACAAGTTTAAAACAAAGTTAAAATTGATAATTTACTAATTAGCCTACAAAAACAAACAATAAAACACATTTCTGGCACAGTACAGAACTGTTTGTTGGTTGAGTTTGGATACATTTCTTTAAGATATAAACACATAAATGCATTAGACCTCCAAAAATGTCACTTTCAGAAAACAACTCCCTCTGACTTAAGATAAACCCAAAGTAAAAGGATAAAAAGGGTCAGGTGACATTTGCTTTTGGATATCTGAGTCATCAAGAACTCTGACTGATAAGTAAGAAAATCAGTGTGCTGATGTTGTTAATGTTTGTTGTTCCAAGTGGAGCATCATATTTACTGGTCAGACATGAACAACTCAAGAAGTGGTGAATTTAAGCCTTCGCCCCCCCACACCAGTCATCCTGTGTTCAGACCAGACTACATGAACATGCTGTTGCCTGTTAACCATTAGACATCGTCCTGTATGTCCCAGTTTCATTCTTTTCACAAATACATGTAAAAGCTACAGGTAGCACCTGGTGTAGACCTCAGGCGTGTTTGCTTCTCTCAGAAAAACCTCAGTACAGAACTATATGATAAAGTTGATGGAAAACATGAAAATATGCTTGTAGTATATTTGATATAGCTAGAATTAGAATGCACTTTATTCGCTGGCCCCAGAGTGCAACAATGATTTGACTCATCTCTTTTTTGTGTGTGAGAAGTAGGTGTGGACTGCTTCCCCCAGGCAAATAGTTTACATTACTCTTGATATTGTCCTTTATCTGACCCAGATAATAATGTGTATCTTTCTGAACATTTGAATGCCAAGCTCTGTTGGGGAGATGTAGCTATATGGAATCCCAATAATATGAAACTTATCTACCCATTCGGTCCCCTACTGGTCAACCTGCTGGTGGATGCTCCCCGCCATTGACGACGTCATGGTGCATGGTTCAGTGAAGAAAAAGAAATTCATTTATCACAACACAACTTGCATGTCATTATAAAATCATGGGAATCATCTGCATTTTCAACAGTCCCCACCTGTTGTCTACAATATTAAACTATGAATTACTGCACAAGAACTAAATTTCAGTTTATTTTATTCTACAAACTTATACAAGACAAATAAGGAATACCAGTGATTTAAGTTCAGTTAACAAATATTTAAGGCGAAAATTAGCACAAATGGATACGACAGACTGACTATGGCTTTGACTGTTAAATCTATTGAGAAAGCCTTCACACTTTGACCATTGTGTCCTTGCAGCTAGTGGTTACCTTTGAACCTAAAGAATTATCTTTGAGTTTATGTAAATGAACGCATCTCTCTGAGGGGCCCCATGCAGTGTCAGCCGTGATTGTTAACCCCATTTGAATCAAGTGCTTTGTTGTTGGGGCTAAAGTCTACATATAAAGAGCCCTCCATTCCTTCAGGTTTACTTCTGACATTAGGCAATGTGACCTTGAACAAACTTGGCTGTGTTGACTCATCTTTTCATAATGTTAAACATATTTGTTACTTTGCTTTAAGGAATTGTTCTAGTAATGCCATTGTTACAGTTAGGTATGTCAGACACACCAAAGTGAATTTAAAAGTGCACCATCTTAATACATTTTGAGCAAAGCACAAGCCCTTTTGTCGTTACTGTGAACAGAGTGAATAATAGTCTGTTTTCTCACATGTGAACTTTGTATCTTATGTAATGAAAGCCACGCAATAAAAGCTTGGTAAAAGTCCTTCTTTGCGTGTTTTCATTGGTGGAGCGCGAATGAGAGAAAACTCAAACTTTTGGAGAATCTATTGTGACTGTGAAGAGATGAACTACTTTAAATGTGTGTGAACATAAACTTATCATGCACAATGTCTTGGCACTGGTCTTGTTCTGTGAAACTCTCCCGGCTTGTTTTCCCACCTCACCCACTCAACTTAAAGTATTAACTCCCACCTATACAACTAAAGCTCAACTTCAATTTCATGCACATCAAGTCAGAAAAACACATTACAAACTTTGGAGTTTTCATGTAGTTGTATTTCCATACAAACAAACAACAATAAAAAAAAAAAAAGTAATACATGATAATAAAACTCTGGAGAAATGCAAATGACTTAAAAAAAAAAAAAAAAAAAAAAAAAAAAAAAAAATTCCTCCAGCGACTTTGAATGTGAGCAGAGAACAAACAACTGATTGGTAGTAACACTTACTTTTACAGCCCGGTTTACCTGCTACTTACCAGCAAACTCAGTTACTTCTAGGTTAACAATGAGATTAATCCGTTATCTTTCGAGGGTGTTCTTAATAGTTACTTATAGCATACAATAGTTACAGGTTGTAAAATTAAGTGTCACCATTATTTACTAAAACACAGTTTTCTGTCCCCATCATTACCAGGACCACGTAAATAGTGATCAGTGCAATAAATCTCAATCACCCTCTTTTGACAAAGGTGTCATTGCTGCAGGCAATTAAAAGGGAGGGAAAGATGCAAGTCCCTAATGAAGCAACAGTAACAGTTGCTGACTTTGTTGCTCATACTCACAGATGCATTATAACGTCTAAAAAAAAAATCAAGACATCTATCGCATGTAAACAAGAACTATCTGAAACTTAGGAGTTCTGTTGATATAGACATGCTAATTCAAAATGTTCCTCTTAGAAACACCTTGATGAATCACACACCATCAATTATTGGAAGGAAGCTGATCGTTGAAAGAAGCAACTTAGTATCGTCCTGTAAAAAGAAAATAGGAAATTTACATTAGTTCAGTTATAGGTCCACTACTGATAAAAATCAATGTGCTTTCACCTGTGATCAAGGTAGGCTACATAAAGCCATTTGAATATGCATACTAACAGTCTTATTTCATGTCTGAAGATGATACAATAGATGCAGTTAGGCAAGCTTTCTATTGTATGCATTTCTCTTCACACTTACGTGGGCTGTAGGAGCGAGACCTTGAGCGAGACCTGTATCGACTGTAGTAGGGTGACGGAGAGCGGCGGCGACTGCAAAGAGACAAAGAAAATTTAATCCATTTTCTCCCACGTACCAGTGTAACAGTGACTTTGTATTCACAAATTATTACTCACCTATACCTATAGTCATACTCGTCGTATCTGTCATAGCGGTCATAGCCACGATCATAATACGAGTCTCTCCCCCTCCTGCTGCTGCTACTGCCGCCGCCACCACCACCACCACCACCTCCGCCGCCACCATTGCTGTTGAAATAAAAAAATAAATAAACAACAAGGCCATGACTTCCAGGCGTCTTATTTCTTGAAAAACACCACAAATCACGAATGTGTTTCAAGAAAGGATGCACAGTTGGATTATTCAATGCAACACAATATGCTAAGGAAACTGATGAGCAAGACCTGACATTAGTGTTTATTCTTACTGAGTTGGTCGGCCCATGTAGATTCCTGGTGTGGGGGTATGAGGTCGTTTGGTAATAGAATAATCCACTCTGATGCGCCTCCCATCCAGCTCCATGCCATTGGCTCGCTCCATTGCCTAGGGAACACAAGAGGCAGGAGAAGACAAAGATGTTATCAGACTAATGTAAGCTCTTTGGTAAAAAAAAAAAAAAACACAACCAAAATAAAGTAATAATTCACAAAGGCCCAACAACATTATACACTGTTACCCCTTGCTATGGGACTGCAAGGTGACAGAGGGAATTTGTGGCAAGGCAGACACCTAGTGGTGTGCTCATGTAATCGCACCTAAATAATAAACTGAAACTGACCTACTACTAAGTGCCAAACAATAATTAGTTGCCAATGACCTTATATGGATGTAGAATTATAGTTTTATATCAATGCGATGACAAGTCATAACACTTTTTGCATAAATACTTTGATAATACTCTTTACCCCCGGTTCTCAGATCTACAGCCATGCCACTTTTCTCAGCCATCTAATCATGTAATATTTTACACTTTAAAAACCCCAGATGATTGTAATTAAGTACAACTAAAGACAGGAAACAATGAGTTACTTGGATCAGAACGAAAGATTATCTGAAAGCCACAAACATTTCCCATACCTCTTTGGAATCGTCAATTCTCTCGAAGTATACAAAGGCAAAGCCACGGGAGCGACCCGTGCGCTGGTCGTACACCACATTGACCCCTGCCAGAGGACCATAGCGTGAAAACACCTCCCTCAGGTCACGCTCTGTGGTGTACAGGCTCAGGCCAAACACTCCCAAACATGTGCTGGGGTCAGGGTTTGCCTGCAAGGGTCAACAATCAGGGTCAGTTGATAGTGAGGTTTACCACATCTACTCATCTAATGCTTTGCATACAAATCCATTTACTGGCCTTAGTATGCAAAACATGTTTCTTCACACACGGAAGCATTTTACATGTTTAATGCACTGAGAATATAGAAGTAAATCTTTCCAAAACTTAAGCTCAGAAAACAATTCTGCACCAATGGCAAATGTATTTAGAACTTTTACAAACTGCCTTATTTATATACTGGCTGCTTCAGATCAGTTTTTCACTGTTATGGAAGAGAAACCACTCCAACTACATTGGATATTTGCTTTTACAGGATGACATCAGGCTTACAACAGAGGCAGTTATTGAATTACTACTAAAAAAGGTAAGAATCTATGCACATTTTCACAACAGGGTACCAAAACCTCCCTCACCAAGCATTTCCAGTTGTACCAGTCCAACGGTAAATGCTTAGTGGGTAAACTATGACAGCTTTAATAACCCCTTAAACAGCTTTCAAAAAATGCCCCTGGGACAGCTATACAATGTACAAAATGATGTCATTTGCCTCTTGTTTGCTTTAAAAGTGTCACTTAATTCCTGCTTTGCATTTGCATTTTTAAAAGCAGCAGCACATTAAAATATTATTGACATTACACAAACTGTGGGCTAACATGGTGCTGCAAGAAAAGCATAGTTATTTATTACTAAACATCAATATTTAACAAGTGTGAAATTTTGCTTGTCGTAATGAAACAGATACAGTACATTATAAACAAAAATACATGAAAACTGCATACACACACATTTGAAATCACCCACATATACTGATGCAATAAAATTAACATACAGTTACTCAAATACTGTTAAGATGTTTTTTTCTAAGAATTGATAAGATGGCTAATGCCCACTTTACCTTAATTCAGTAGGTGATCCAATGCACATTGCAGACATCAAAATCAATATGTAATATGCAGTTTCGTTTGCAAACCTGCCGCATTGTCTAAATACACCAAGATCCATTTGATTTTCACTAGGTTATATTTACCCCGTTATCCCTCATCCAGTACTACACTGGGCCACACACAAACATTACATTGCTCCTGCCCAAAATATGTCAGAAGGTCCACATACCCTAACATCAGCATCACCGCCATGACTGCATGCTTCTTTAGTGAAGTCATGGCTCTGTTGATATAATGAAAGGAGGGGGAAGATTAACAAAAAGGGGTTATTAAATGTCATTTCAAAGTAGTTTCCCACAGTATTACCACAATTAACTTCCTAATAAATAAAAGAATGAGAAATAACCATGACTTTAAACTGTTATTTAAATCATGCTTTCAATAATCCATCTCAAATCCTTATGTAAAACATTTTATACACATTGCGTTTAACACATTTTGCTCATTAAAAGTGCTGAAATAATTACATAAAAAAAAAAGGAAAAGAGTTTTGAGGAGATTGGCCTGATGGTTGTGAAATCACATAGCAACTTTAAAAACACAACTTCACACCATTTCCTTGTCTTCCCAATACATTTTGAGCACGACTGATATTGTATTCAATCTGTTAACAGGTCATACAGTATATGCCAATTTCCTCACTAATTACAGGATAAGATTCTGTCTATCTCCCCAAAACTAGATCAATATTTTAACACCATATGCACATACAGTGTCCTTTTGTTCTCCTTCTGTAATAGCCGATTGTACTTTACCTATCTTCAGATCTCATTACACTCACCCTGCTGCCGGTGTGACGCCGCCGGTTTGACATAGGGGAAGTGCTCTGGCTCCTCCTGCGGCGGTACTCGGGGCTGTACGAACGAGAGCGGGACTTCTTCCGGTGGGAATAGGACCGAGAGCGTGAACGGCTATAGCGGCGGTTTGAGTGCCGCCTTGAGCGAGACCTGAAAAAGATGCGGAACAGGCATTGAATTTAATTGTACACAACTTATGACACAGCTATAGATGACATATTATGCAGAGTACGGGTACAGAGCACCCTGTAGTGACATATTTCAGCCCCTAACGAGCATTTAGCATTTTGTAATATGATGTGATCACAATAAAGGCATACCTAGATTTTGACCGAGAGCGGGATCTGGACTCAGAGCGCTTGGAGGCCCGGGATGGGCTCGGGGAGCCGGACCTGCTCTCTGACTTGACCCGAGCTGGACTTCCACGATCCGATTTAGATGGGGAGCGTGACCCCTATTGCCACAGCAGGATGTTAACAACATTTTCTTGGACAAATATATTTATTTCTTTATACAGAAAATAAATCAAGCACAGAAGAGTGAGATGTGGTAGAGTATGTTGGAAACACACAGTACATGTGTCTAAAATGCACAGCTTATGTACTGTGGAGGAAAGGGTTAGTAATTTTATAATTACAATAAAAAATCTTTGGTTTATAGTGTGGCCCATTATTAACCATACCAATCTAAAGTACATGACAGGTCTATTTCCATGTCCACCTGGACCATCAAGGGAAAAAATAAAACATGCATTTTCATGTTACATAAAAAGGGAGCATGGTAAAGAGAAGACATTTGTGACACAAACAGTGTATTTACTTAACCTAGGGACACATTCATTCTTCCAGATTCTTTACACGCTACCCCCTTCTCTCAGGATTTCTATCCTTCTTCATTCTTCTTTTTTCAGTTTTCTCATTTTCTGATTCCAGGTCTGTTTTTCCTCTCTTCACCCAAACTGAAACCAGTTTCATTTTAGCCTTTACACTGCAAGCGCTTCTATCTGACACCATTCTTCCGTCACATTTCCTCCCTTTCCACCTTCTATGTTCTGCTCTGTACATGTTTTCATTAGCCTTCTTTTATCTTGAAAATTTTCTTCATCATTCTTGGATAAAACTCTTCAAATCCTTCACGATCAATAACCTTAATGAAAAAAGAACATTCAATAAAATTAAGATCATAGGTTTAATAAAAAAAAAAAGAGAATAGGAAAAAAAACACTGAATGCATTACAATTACATTGTTGCTATACTGAGTTCTAATATTCCAGAAATCATGTAAAAAGAGCAAAGTTACAACAATTGAAGCTACATGGTTACAAATGAAGAGCTTACATATGTGTAGCAATGTTTCAATTTGATAAATAAGAGCGTGAAAACAGGGAAGGAAGAGAGGCTAAGGACTCCTTCGTGGTGGTAATAGTAAATGCTAGATCAGAAAAAACAAATACTCATTTTGCCAATGTGCAATAATGGCTGCAGCAATAGCAGTGATATCCGCACCAAAGGACGATATCTGAACGCCGTAGCTAGCAGGTTACATTTACGTTACATACGTTTCATGAGCGAATGAGACAGGTGCAATACTTTCAACTAACTACGCAAAAATAGTACAAATCAATATTAAGCTCTAACCCCGGTGATTTTTTGAAGCCAGCTAACGTTAAGAGGAGTCTTGTTGAAGCAGTATTGCTTAGCAGAGCGGGAACCGTTCGTGTAAAAAAAAATACTTTGGAGAATAAAGTTATTGTTGGCTTAAGGCAAAACCAGAACAGGTCTCTGCCTCTCTAACACACGTAACGTTAGCCAACAATGCACGTAAAGCTAACGTTAAGCTACTGATTTAGCGTTGCCTCAATATTAGCTGTTACATTAGCTAGCGTGTGTGTGGTGATCTCGCCTACAGTGTTCTCTATCGGCAGCCACACGGGAGGAAAAGGAAGAAAGGGAGATATTCGACATCATTCGATGGAACTACTTACCCGTCCTCCGTAATTTCCATCTTCAATGTCACTCATTTCTCAGTATATATAATACAACGCAGTATTTCGATAGAAATTAAACTGCACTGAGGTTTTAAACAATGTTTTATTCTGGTCGGTTCCTAGCTACAAGATGGCGCATGAGTTGGGTGGTATGTTTATGTGCTGCAGAATCCGACGTCACGTCCCGTCTCGTGTCCCACGCCCCCTTAATGCAAAAACTTGGCGTACTTGAACGTCTCATTTCACCACCCTGATAACTTTTTCTAACGGTCCACCGTGATCAGCAGTGCAAGGACAATTGAGAACTTTTAAGTAAAAGAAGCAACACCACAGCATAAACACACTATTACAATAGAGTCCTACTACTGTACACCTTTTGGAAAATGACCCATTCAGTGTTGTTACCATGTTATTAAAATAATAATGAAACATTGTGCAAGCAGCATATAAAAGTTGAAGCTGATTCAGATGGAGCTCCTTTTAACCACTCTATATACTGTTGGGTAGCTTAATCTGCCACCCATATTGACCGTGTCTCATATAATCCACAAGTAGTAGCCTACTGATGAAAGCATTGTCAATATTTCTTGCCGCACAAAGTCATCGTGTTAATGAGCATCATGTTGAGCAAATTAAAGATCTTCTTCCTCTGGGACTGGACAGGGTGAGGTGTACGCTCATCTCCCCAAAATATCTTTGAAGTCAAAGTTGGATGAGCTCAGTAATTTTAGAAAATCTGTAGAGTCACAGTGCAACATGAACCCTGAACATGTGTAAGCAGCACTACTGGGCTAAAGACTGACAACACTGTACATTCAATCTGTTCCACACCTAAATTAAAAGATCTCTCAATACCGGGCAAGGTAACCATTGGATTTCAACTGAGATAAAGCACAGATACACTCATGTTTAGGTGGCAGATATGTATGACCCCATCACAGTCTTCATAAATGTCAAACTGGCTTGCAGCAATTGCAAATACACATTTATACTGCCTTCAGATAGTGCGCAAATAACATTCTTTGGATTATCTCTTACTCACGAACTATACAGTTTAATTATGCTTAAAATTATATCTGTAAGCTCAAAGTAGAACTTTTTTCATACAGTACTTAGCAACTGTAGCACTGTAAAAAGTTTACACTGTAGATGTGGGGGCATTTTTAAGCCATCTTTTTGACAAAGCATATGAGAATGATGTTCAGTTCCAGGTGTGTTTATACTGCTCTGCATTTGCTTTAACAGTCACAAGATTCATACATGGCATCATTCAAATGCTAAAATTCAAGGCAAATAAAATCAGCAATGCAAATATAAAACAAATTATAAAATGGATAGTCTTGGTAAAAAATAAATATCAGCATGATAGGACAGAGCATAAAGAAGTCCTTTTCCTTCCCTCCGAGTTGGCTGAACATTTCTGAGAAGCATCGCTAATTCCCAAGTTTCTGCGTGTCCATATGTCTGTATTACTTTTCACTTGCCTGATAGATGCTAGAAAAGTGTAATATGCTAAAAAGAACAAAAACAATACATCTATCAAGACTATGCTCCTTGATGTGGACGAGGCCTATTAGGGATGTGTGGGTGAAGGCGTGACATCCTTTGGTGGCTGCCAGGTGTCTCCTGCTTTGAGGATTTCTGTAGTGCAGCGGAAGCGGAGGCAAGGACGCCCCCCGCTGTGTTGGAGGTGTTAGTGGACGAGGCATTGACCACCAACTCGATTTTCCCCTCCAGTTTGACCAGCCGTGTCAGAATGTCGTCCAGTAAAACAGCGATAGTCCTCTTCAGATCAGCTGTGTGTGCGCGCATGTGAGAGGGGAAAAGGAAGGATGGGAAAACAAATCAATGCTTCAGGATGCTTTTTCACAACTTTAAAAACACACAACATTCATACAGGAGTAAGCAAGTAATTTTGTGTGCAGGAAAGAGTGTAGTAACACCATATACTGCACACCATTCCTGACTACTTCTTAAAGGCTTACCATAACCAGCCATGGATGTTCCCTGCGGCCCACCTGGCGCATTCTGGTTTTCCTCTGTCAGGACCTTGACATACCGTCGGCTGAGCTCCAGGATCTGCTCACGAAGCTCTGCGCTGCTCTGATGGCGAGGCTGCTGCACAGTGTAGCGCAGCAGCATAAGCCCCCACGCCAGACCAAAAACCAGCAGCAGCACACTCAGCTTTTGGGACATGTTTCTCCGCAGGAGCGCACCGAGCATGGTACTGGGGGTTGCAAAGGGGAGGGGATCTGGAGAGGCCCGGTCTGAGGCTGAAAGTCTTTCCTTGGATGTATATGAATCAATAACTGGACAAATAAAAATTATCTGCTCTGTTACCTATATCCACAGAAAGGTCAGAGGTCAAAGTCCACTACAAAGTGTTCCTAGAGCTGATCTGGATTCAGTGCCACGCTTACATGTGCTTGACCAATACCCATGCAGACGAAGATGTTTCTCCAACCACTACAGCATCCTTTACTTCCTCAGAGGAGGGGAGAAAGCTGAGGCCAGGAAGTGAAACCAGGAGGAAGAAGACACCCATAGACACCAGCAGTCAGGGGTTTCTGGAAAGATTCTTTGGTTGCAAGATGTCCAACTTCAAATCACTGATACAGACTGGGCGTTTAGGCAGGGGGTCTGCAGACATCGTTGACTATGTTGGAGAAGTGCACCAAAAAAAGACAAAAATGAGATAAAAGATAAAAATGAACAAAAAAAAGAAAGAAACACAGACATACATTTCTTATTGCCAGTTTAATATAGCAGACTTTATTTTATACTGCGTATGTTTTTATTGTGCAGCACTGCAATGTCAGAATTGAATCTACAATACCAAAAACCACTTCAAGGATAATTTCTGTAGCCCTACCATGTTTATTCATATTGGGCTCAGAGCCGTGTTGCGTTTTTTTATTCATACTGACTGTGAGGATTTGTGTGTGGATAGATGCATGCAACATTTTCCATCAGACTCCACTGCATGTGCTGGATGAAGACAAAATCCACATCATTATTGGCATTATTAAAGTGGCTTCCTAGACTATTTAGTTATCATTAAAGACGGGCTTTGGGTCAGGGTGCACAATAGCCCACTCATCAACAAATGTTTTTCAGCCCTTACAGCCCAGAAACCCAATTACCCGTTTAGATTTCATGGGACCCACTTTGCAGCTCCAGATTGGAGACACAATAACAGACAGAAGCAAAGAGGGCATTTATTCTCTAATCCCACATACAGAATGGTTATTTGACTGACAAATAGCCTTTGAGTGCCCCGTGCACATGCAGAGGAAATTAGGCGATCATTTCTCAGTTTTCACAACTTTGTCACCAAGTTCATTCTCTGCGCTCGCTCTCTTGGGAGTGGGAGTGTCACATTCTGCTGAAGTTAGAGACCGGACAGTGACTGAGAGAATAAATTATGAAAAGAGAGGTAACAGAATCCATTTAGGGAAACTTCCCAGCCTCTAACCACACACACACAAACACGTCCTTCCTGTGACCCGGGTGCTACAGAGGAAAGCACAGTGCAAAGGCTTGATGAGAGTAACAGTTGAAACTAGTGAGGAAGTACAAAACTGACAAACATTCAAACGAAAGCTCTCCCACCGACTTTAGAGACGCAACTTTTAGCTCCTAGTCTTAACAAGCCCCTGAAAAAGTTTTTTTAACATCACATTCTGAACATGAAAAGTGTATCACATTAACTCCATTCAAGTCACTGCAAATTTAAAAGAACACAACTAAACTCACAATGCATGATACACAGAGAAACAGGTAATATTTCAAGCTGGAGTTAAAACTTTCTGTGGAAGATGATATAGGTTATAAGTTATTCCATCCATACATTGGTCAACAGATCATCTTACTTTAACATAGGGTTGACACAACGGAAGAGTTTTGGTATTCAGATACTCTCCAGTCATCACTGTCATGCCTGATCACTGTTCTATGGAAAGACGCACCAATTTAGGCCACAGCTTCAGACAATGAATGTTCTACTTGTTTAGGACTATTTAAGTATAGTGAACCTAACGGGGTGATTTCCAGTGATAAGGCAGACAATATCAGTCAAAATGCCTAATCTAGAGGTTAAATATTGACCAGAACCGCGGTCACATGAGATTCAACAGAGGCTTAGCAACAGAGGTAATGAGCTGTCATGCAGAGCATATATGCTAAACACTGAAATGTCAATAATGTTAGGGTGTGGAGGAGGTAAACGATATGAAGGCGTGGGTAATGTTACTGTGCATGCTATGACACTGGAACGTTGACTCCACCAGCCTGAAGGCACACAGATTCTTGATAACAAATCACATATTGACTGGGCGAACACGTTTAACTTCTCACTATGATTACACAATGTCAAGTAACACAAATACATGACAAACCTAATAACTAAACTTACCAACACTCAGTCGACAAACGACGACAAATATAAGATCCACTCATGCCGGATAGTTTGTCTTCTTTTTAAACTAAAATAGCTTTTATTTATAATTGTTAGCAGCCGCTCGAGCTCAGTTGATTCTGTTTCCAACTCCATCCAACACCTCATGTTTAGCTCGACATGTTAACTTAGTTCGGCAACGCGCAAACGTGACAGTTAACAAGAGGTAAACAAAATATCTGCAAATGCAGTCAAAGACAGATCATTTACACCAGTGTCTGAAAAGCTACCTTGTTGTTGAAGCAGGAATTAACAGGCTCCAGAGAAGCAGCGACGAGGCGACTAAGCTGTAGCTGCTATCTGGCTGACACTGAATGATGCTTGTTGTTTGGCAACCTTGGGCTGTCGTTGCTGTGGCTGGGGGAAATATCTCGAGTATCCCGCTGTCCGATAAAAAGTTAACTACCGAGCTTCGCGTTAAGGTGTCCGCTCACTCTGTAAGTCATTTCGGCGTCTTCCTCCACGGTCTGCGATGAAGTCTTGCAGGCAAAAGTCTGTAGCTGGAATACCAAGCATGCAATTTTGCTGACTGTCATGGTTCCCCCTGAACGTCTACTGTGTGCGTCATTACTACGGCATTATGGGGAATGTATTCCTACTGCCCGTCCTCGTCGTCTTTTTATAACGTTAGTCTTTGGTTTTCTCTCAATTAAACGCAAGGCAAAGAAAAAAACGACTAGTAAGCGCAGGTAAACCGTTAAGCGACAGTTACTCCGTTTTAATTAAAACAATAAAACCAGTTCATATAGCGCAAAAAAAAAAATCGGCTAACAAGTAAGTGGAAATACAGTGCTAATTGAAGTGTTAATGCTTCATAGCTAACGTTAAATGTAAGTTTAGATATACTAAACAATATATATATATATATATATATATATATATATATACTAACTTTTCCTCTGTTGATCTTTCCCTCTATGTGTATGTGTGTGCAGTACACTTTGCGACCGTTAGAGGGATGTAACGTTATACAATCATTCCCATAGTAACCTCGGTAGCTGGTGGTAAACAGTAACGTTAACGTTACTTGTTTGCAGTAAAGGCAAAAGGCCCACAGCTATCAGTTTTGAATTTTTGACAATGGAGACAATATATCTCGATAAATCAGCTGTGAAAGCTGTGGATGACTACTGGGAGTACAGAAGGTTTGTCTCAACGGTGTGTGCTTTTATCGCCTAGCTTTAGCTAAACGGTTAATTAATCTCTAGATGGTTTTCATACACGTAGGAGCAAGCCACCAGCATGTGACTACTAATGCTAACTACAGAGGAACTGATGTAATTCAACTAAACTACAATGCAAGTGATGCAATATCACAATAACCCTTTTGTTATAAGCAGGTCAGCTCATTGTATGAGTAAGTTATCATAGTGTTTTTGTTACTGGTGGTTTGTCTTTTTCAAGGATTGTGGGTGATGATGATGGAGGAAAACTGTTCACTCCAGAGCAATATGAGGCATACAAGAGGAAGGTGCTCCCTCAACGAGTGAAAAACAGGCTGTATGTAAGCTTTGGGGTGCCGGGAGGTATCGACTGCAAACTCATTGGCCCTGAGACACAATGCTTCTGTACACACAGGTAGTAAATTTCTCAATAACAAATGAAATCAGACATCCTTCTCCCCTACACTCCACCACACGCACAGCCGTATATAAATAAACACACTTGGGAGTAACATAATTTTGTCCAGGTACAAGCAACATAAGACCGACTTTGAAGTGGTTCCATCTGAGCGACCCCTCACCCTACCATGCAGGGTCAGAGGATGTCATTGTCCTGCCTACCAGTATGTTCCCCGGATTGGGCCAAACCCTGTCCACTGCAGGTGTAAACACTTGCCTCAGGATCACAGTGAAGCCACTGGCCACTTGTGCAAAAAGTGTGAGTCTGAAATCACTATATTTAAAGACAATGGCAGCGTACTTAGATGGAATCTAGGTAACATATACAGTTCATGTTCAAGATCATTTTCGCAGACTTGTTTCCCAATAACTCATTTTCAGGCACTTCCTGTTCTGGGTTCCAGAGCCCCTTCACCTGTTTGTGTGGCCAGGCCAGCTCTGCCCACCAGACCCTGGTGAGTAGAGTCAAACATCAAACACAGGTCCTTGGTGTAAAAAATTTAATTAAATCAGGCTAATGCTACACATAGATTTACAATATTGCTACAGTTTGTTCACAGAAATAAAGCTGCAAACTCTAATCACATTATTTTCTTGGCAGGTTGAGACAAAACTAGAGAGGGAGGCACGTGGCCAGCCCGTAGGCAGGGATGTCCCTTATGCTGCCATGGGGGGGCTGATAGGGTTCAGCTCCTTGTTGGATGGTTATCTTGCTTTGGAACCCAGTGGCTCAGGTGAGCATGTGACAACTTAATCTCTGTCTGCAATGGAAAGCTGCATCAGAAGGATCCATTTTAAAGTTGCCATGTGAGAGGTGCTGTACATGTAGTTACATTGAGCATAATCTTCCCCCAGCAATAATACCAGCAATCGTTTAGCTCAGACATTCTTTGATTCATGAAGTCAGACTGTTTTTGTGTGTGTGTGTGTGTGTGTGTGTGTGTGTGTGTGTGTGTGTGTGTGTGTGTGTGTGTGTGTGTGTGCGCGTGTGTGCAGGCATTGCACTAAAGCTGAAGAAAGTTCCTTTTAAAGGCATGTGAGGGCAGCAAAGAGCAGCACAGTAACCATGTCTGCAGTGTGAGGATTTGTTCAGGTCAAATGTGTGTAGTAAAAACAGCATGTGTATCACTTTGTCAACACATGATTTCTCACTCAGACTAATAGAGGTGCGGTTCAGCAGGGGGGAAGGCAAATATTCACGCATTTTATATTGTTGAGAGATTAATTGAGATTAACTTCTTTTTAAAACACGCGTATCTTCACTATGTGAGATGACTACAATTAATCGCACAGAGGTTCTTAACCGACATAAATCCTAACTTCACAAAGCTTACGTGCACATTTAATTACAGATGTTACTCTGAAATGGATGAAGAAAACACTGTTCAGCATGCAATGTTAAGTTTACAATTGATATCAGACCAATCATTCAAGTTTCTGCAGCTTTCGAGAAGTCATTTTCACCTCTTCTGAAAACCATGGAAATTTAATTAATGATTTAATGTTCAACATTAGTTACTATGGTTTTAATCCATTTATGTGTAGTTAATTATGTATGATTTAAAATGCTGTTGACTTATTACGCCACAATTTAGCATTTACTATGCACACAGTGGTACTGAGTTTGTCACAAATGTCTCTTCCAAATACTACTACATACAATATCAGATTGGATGTAGCCATCATAACTTCTGTTTTAAAGTTATCACTCAATATATGGTTTTATTTATATATTTTAATCAGAAACATAAACGTTTTATGTATAATTACTATATAGTATATTATAATCAGTGACTGCAGATAAATGCATTCTATAAAATATAAGCCTTCAGTTTTTACACCATCTGTGCTTCAGATCCTGGTATGGTTAATGCACACAACATAATTCCATACATGTGAAGTACACAACATGCACTGCTGCTACCCATCACATTTGATTTTTGTAATCTCTGCTGTATCTTTTTCAGAGCAAGACAGAGAAGACGGCTGCCAGCAGAGATGCTCAGCATCTTGGATCAAAGAAACGTCTCCTAAAAATCCATCTGTATTCACTGTTAGAGAGAGACCAACAAACAGTGAAATGCAATGTCCTTCTCAGAGTTCATCTGCCAAACCCAACCATTAAATATTACATTCCTCAAATACATCATACATATCTTCTGATTTGTAACCTTTAATCAGAACATTTTGATCGTTTCACAACTACACTATTATTTTTGTGTCTGTCTGTCTTTTTCAGTGTCGTGACATTATGGAATAATCAGCTGTCAGCAACAGTGGTGATTAAATCCCACCTCACAACCAAACAATTAACTGACAATATATTGATCCAATCAGAGGTTTGAGTGTGGGAATCCACTGGCAGCATTACTATGATAATTTCTGAGTTTGAAGTGTTGAAGTGTTTTTTTGTTGTCAACTTTTACGACATAACCTGAACAAATCACAGTTTGACACAGCCTTAATACATTTGAATACATAGTCAAGATGAAATAACGGTGGATTTATCACATTTGGAAGGAAAGCATGGTTAGGAAATCTTATCTGTGTTTTATGTGAGCTGCAAAAATTCCATGTATAAACTCACAGTTGTATCTGTGATGGTAAAAATAAGATATGAGATTAAACATGTAAAATCCAAGCTATTTTAGAATGAGTTTTAAACATTTTAAATTAAAATATAAAATACACATTTTGAAGTATTAGTGTTAAGGTTGGGTGGTGGTAGAACTCAGGTGCAAACACAGACCCGGTGAAGGTGTGAAAAAAGGGTTTATTCTTGAGAACAAAAAATAACTAGGCAAGGGTTGGGGAGGCCAGGCTGGGAAGCTAGAGAGCTTGTAGATCCAGGAGTGTGGCTGGCGAGGCAAGGGGGCACGAGGCAGCAGAGGTCTGGAAACAAAATGAAGAGACAAAAAACAGTTAGGAACAAACTTTAAGGCGAAGGCTTGAGTAGCCCGAGAATCGTCTGAATAGGCCAAACAACTGTTACCACGGATGGCAAAAAACAATCTAGCACTGGCCCTCCAGGAAGTTGGAGCTTAAGAGCACAGCGGTGATGAGTTGATCTGCTGCAGGTGTAGAGGAGAGCCAGGTGCCGAGCCAGCTACCACGCCCCCTGCACAGAGAGAACACACCTCCCAAGCAGCCATACAGCCCAAGCCGTAACAATTAGGTCATAAAGGCCAGTTCAACATAGCAATACAAAGTCATCTCTACCATAAAATTCCTTAGAGTCATGTTTTATGCACTAACCAACCTGTAGTTACTTTTATTTACAGCAGTTTTCTGGCAATGCCTTATATTTCCCTCTTGGTACACATTCCATAAACTGGTCAGTTTACTCATCTGAGGTTTGTGTGACTGATGTTTCTCTTTGTGAGAAAGCCGCCCACTCAACATGTCACCAAAATAACACCACAACCATGGAGCTGCGTGTTCAATGATGAGTGCAGTTTTTAATTTGCAGATAGATGTACTGTCTACGATTGATTAATCCCATTCCTCACGGCAGATCAGCAGTGATGAGAGTTGATTTAATCCAAGCAGTGAATGGAGATTGAAGCATGCCATGTTTTCTTCATTGGCGGCCCACTTTCCAACGTCTTTAACTAGGAAATAAAAAGAAACAGGGAACTAAATGAGGATTGACTCCCACTCAAATGTTTCCACTGGGTGGATGGCAAGTCAAACTGTATTAGCATCTAAACCAGTGCTGGCCAGTGCATCTCAAGTCACCTGTGTCATAATGTAAGCATTACATGAGGGAGCTTTGTTTGTGTGTTTATGTTTGCGTGTGTGTCGTTGAGCTGAACAGGTGTTCTCGAGGGAAAGAAAGTAGGGCTACGCCTGAAGGATGGCATGGATGCACCTGGGTCTCTGCAGCCGAGTGATGAGGAGGAAGCAAGTGGAAGGGATCCCATCTGAAAGCTGACCCTTAAGATTCAGTGTGTATCTACGATGGCCATGGTATCAGGTTGCCACAAGACAAAGTATGTACACACACATTCACACATTTGAATGTTTCCTCTTCGCTACTCAGAAGATCTTTGTTGACTGCTAGCATCCTTAAAAAAACACGACCTGTTTCTGCTTACTCCTGGACATTTCTTCTCATAGAGGGGTAGAATCAGTGGGTGGAGTGGGATGGGGGGGAGAGAGAGAGAGCGAAAAACCCAATTAATTTAAGAGGTAAAAGCTTGACACATTAGTCTGGCACAATTACAATTTGGGTAATTGGCTCTCCATAGAAACCCTGTTTAGGAGGCTACAGGTAATTTACTTTGGCCATTGGTTGAAATGAATGACTGCTAGACCTCTCTTATCCCCATGGAAACCACGCCCAGCTTGACTGACAGATCCGATACTACAAATCAGGAGGTAAGCACAGGAGATTAAATTGGCAATTACTGCGCAAGGAAACACTTAATTACCCCCATGACAGCAACGGTAGGCACAGACTGACTTAACTGGAGACGAAGAACACACTCCTCTCATTTCCCCCCAGACAGAGAAGAGAGGTAACAAAAACTCATGGGCGCAGGGAGACACAACAGACTGACAGGTACTGACAAATCACTTGAAACCCAACCAGATACTACTAAAAAATACAGGAAAATACAGCTTGAAATAAAATTTCCAAAATGCAAAAAAGAAGGACAAGAACATTTGTTATCAACCTCAGCGACAGTGCAGTACACTATATGTGCGTTCTCTAGGAAATGTGAAGTTGCCTTAACGTTGTCGAGTTGAATTATGGGTAACGTTTTGTTTATACTGCCATGTTGTGAGGATCTCGCTGCGATCCCGCTGCCTTCTATTTATGCACACACTGTAGGACTGATCTGTAAAATCATGTCTCCATTCATTTCTACTCGATATAACCAAATACTAAATATATCTGCCCACTGCAAGTAGAAAAACCTGCGTTTTTTTAAGAAGGTCCAGTGTTATAGCAAATAATTTTCATTATATTGTGACAGATTAAACCCACGGCCTAATAACATAGCTAAATGTTTTTGAAATTTTGGAATTTGGTTTGGTTTAATAATTGAACCAAAAAGAGGAGTGCCACCTTAACTCTACAAGTATGGCTGCTCTCGTAGATTGCCGGCTTATGAATGAGCAGCTTTTGTACCCAGCCACCGCAAAACTGTTCATGAGCTTCTAGTGATTTATAACTTTTAAACTCACAAAACATGTAGAAGTTGAATAGAGGTAGTGCATCTTGGTCTGTAATCCAGTCTTAGGCAGCCAGGTCATATGGATCTACGTTGTTTATGGTTATTAGTTTGTCCAAATACCATTTCTTGCAGTGACATTTCATTTCTCCTTGTAGGGTCCCTTTTCTTTTCCCTTCTCCTTCAGATTTTACCGAACAACTTTTCACATTCCCTATAGCCCATTTGGATGTTAATGCTAAAACAAATGGTCTGTGAGTCCATGAAATCTGTTGGCCTCAAAGTTCCTATCAGTGTGTCAAGTTGTGCGTCTAAGTGGTGCACAAACTTTTTCTGTCCCCTTTCAAAAGCTGAAAAAAGTTCAAGTTTACTACACGTAAACTGATTGAATTCTTATCAATCATTAACAATATTGGGGGAGCAACAAATGGAAAAGGTCCCAGTTGAATTTGATTGAAATAAAAGAAATTATTCAGGTCAGCACGATAGCATCAGCAAAATGTTGTTGTTTTTTATTTCCCTACATAAATCATGTCCATTCAACTTAGTTCCTCTCCATATTTTCCCCATGCCATCCGACCCCCAGTTTTAGAACCACCAGTCTAACCATTTGCTTTTATTCCTTCACAGTGATAATTATTGCCAAACTCTACAGTTCCCCTCAGTTCTATGGAACATTTCAGCATCTTCTAACTAATTGTTTTGGTTTTCCAGCTTGCAACTTTACTCTTTTAGTTCACTCTCAACACCTCTCATCAGGAATGTTTTCTGACGCAGCAAGAAGCTGCAGTTTTTAGCAAAATGCTTTTATACAGCCACTGTACACTACCTGCCCAACACCAAATGGCAGGCAGTAGAAGTTAGTGGCTAACAATTAAACATAGTGAAACACACCAACTTAAAGTGATGTGTTAATTTAAGCTACTTTCAAACATCATCAACACAGATTTTCACTGTTTCTCTATGTATTTCTCCTTTGATTATCAGTCAATTTAAAACAGATCTTACTCATACAAAATACAGCTTGTTCTGTTTCTAAGAAGAACAAAAAACCCATCACAATCTCCTAAAAGTGAAGCACAATCCTACGTATGTCTTTGACGCATTGGACGTGTGTGTGTTGCCTCTCTTTTGTGGTTGAATCAGTGGGAAATTGACAGTGCAGCAACTTCATAGAGGCTCTGCTTCAATTCCCTCCTGTGTCGACAGGCTTGGGGAGGAGGATGGAGAGCGAGTCGTGAGAAATGGATTTAGCTTTTTTTCACAAAGCATATTGATAATGAACAGAAGGGGATGTTGTATTGCTGGGTTAAATCAATTGTAATGTTTGACCAAGAGAAGTGTGTTTAAACACATGCAGCCAAACACACACACTCACACATTAGTGCATAATACCATAAACACATACATGGCATGCTGTATGTTTGACAAAAAGAAATTAGTTTTAATAATTTATGTTTGTATAGTGCAGCGATATCAGTACCAATTAGCAATAGGGTACTTGTAAAGGGTCTATAAGTTGACATATTGTAAAAGGACAAGGGTTGCCATGTTAAAATAAGCCGTTATAAATGTAAGGAAGTTTTGGTGGGTCAAACAATCCATAAGACAGCGTCTGTGTACTTAATTCAAGAGCCAGCCCAAAAGACAACAGGGGATACACCAAAGAGATGGATCCATCAATTACCCATAAAGGCTGGACTTAGTTACTTGCCTTGGATCGAAAGGAGTTGGTGTTAGTCCCAAAGGGACTTATTCACAAAAGTCATTTTGTTTATCCGCCCCATAGGCTATAGTAATATAAAAACTGTACAACTGTAAGCTAACTAGCAATGGATCCACGGGTCATGTCTATGGCAGTGTGCTTGTGTGTTGATTTAACTTATTTCTCTCTAGTCTCTCTGTCCTCCCGCCTCTGTATGTTCATGAAGGCGGTTCATAAAGCCCCTGGGATTCCCGTCTTGGTGTCAAATCAAGCCATCCCCAGGCCAATTCTAATCATATCTTTCAGTTGACTTTATGTGCAGTTGCACCGCCTCTAAACTTCACTTCACACTCTGTCTGAACACACAGTAAAATGCTCCTTAATTACACAAACATGATATAACTTAATAAGTGAGCTTTAGTATGTTGGTAGGCAGATTTTGTTATTGATTTTGTTTGTTACGCTTAGACCAGACAGGATCAGGCTAGATGTTTCCCTGTTTCCAGTCTTTGTGCTAAACTAAGCTGACCGACTGCTGACTAGTAGCTTTAACAGACACATTTACGAGTGGGATTGATCTTCTTAATTAATAATTGGCAAGAAAGAGAGCAATTATAGCAATATTTCCTAAAACCTTTGATTTAAAATGTTTTAAACGTTGTGCCTACTATGTCAAGCCAAAAAATTATGACCCAAGATTACGGTTTAAATACTTCTTGTCTCAAGACTCATCTTTTACCTGGTCTTAATTTAAAGAGTCTTAAACACAGTACAATTGCTTATCAGTAAGTATTAATACATTTAGTTAGAATCACCATTTACAACTCGAACACCCTTAGAGCTATTCCTTATAACAATATTGCGCTTGTTATTAAAATTTATCTGTAGTTGCTGCTTTAGTGTGAGTGTTATGTGCTCCTTGTGAGTATGTCCTTGTGTGTAACTGCTTGTGCTCACAGAAATTCAGCATTATGCACCCTTCTACCAGCTACCTGAATAATAACATTAACTCTGGAAATGCCTTTAATTTGCAGAATACGTATTTGGACACACTCAATGGCTGATTGACAGCCATGTGGAAAAATATGTTCTTTCATGAATGCAGCACACTCTTGAGAACTGACACTTGCAACTGCTTTCTAATGCATTCGCTGGACTGCTTAAATCATACATTTCCCCTCCATTATCAGGCTCCCCGTGGGTGAAGCCTGCATCTAGCAGGCATCTAATATGCTGGTAATAAATTTAACCTGGCTGCACCTCTTCAGACCTATATGCTAAATGGCTGTGAAAGTGTGGTAAAAAATA